TTTTTTTTTTTTTTTTTGTTTTGTTCTAAAACATGTCTTTTGTACTGTTTTTTTTTAACTATATTTCATGCTTTCATGACTTATTTGTAAGAAAATAATATGTATTTTAATTCTTTTTTGTTGCAAAATTAAGTAATGAAAACGTTCCCCTAAATTACAAAACTGGGTTATGTGACATACATAAACTTTATCTTAGAGTAACTTTTATCCGTTCAGCGAGAACCCTTTCATTCAACACCATCAGACCACTAAGGCTGACTTTCATCTGATCGACGGGTGGGGCTTGTATACTAGCTCCCTTTCTGCCTTTATATTCAAGGGTCAATCTCCATCTGGCCCGAGGAAACCTTTGCACGCTTCCGTTACCTTTTAGGAGACGAGGTCTCTTACTATATATATATATATGAAATTTTATACGATATTTTAGAATAACTTGTTACTTGATATAAAAAAAGATATTAATGAAAGTAATACACAAACAATATGGCATATATTTTTTTAAAAAAATAATTAAAGTAAAAAATGCTTAATTATATAATAATTATGAGATATTAGGGGCAATAAGCAAGAAATATATTTTAGATTTATTTATTAAAAAAAAATGCAATAAAAAATTAAAAAAAAAAATTAATTGAGAATAGAAATTTATGTTATTTAAACCCCCGATAAACCCAAGTTCAGGGTTCATTGGCCTCAAAGCTCAGAACTGAGAGTCGATCTTTCACCACTGGAAAACAGTTCTACAATGCAACAATGAAAAGAGAAGGTTTGTGTCGTCATCTTCAATTTTAGTGTTTGGAAATGGATCATCAAAGTGTTTCGTCCCTACTTAGAATACGCACTAACGTTTTCAAGTTTCTGTTCAACTCGGTTTCGTCGTCTGTGCAGTTCATTTGAGCAGTTCGTTTGGGAGTTTTCAAATTTCAGTAGCTACCTCTACTCGATAAGTTCCTGCAAGATTCTGATGATAAGGTGTGCTTGTTTCGGTTCACAGGATTTGTGTATGTTTAATTTCCGACGTTCGTTTTAAATTCAATCATGACCACCAATTTTTGAGATCTGTTTGATTAAATTTTTGGATTTGGTGGCAATCTATGCATTTATATTCTCGATTATTGAATTCTATATGAATTTTGTGGTATGAAAGATTGATTGCCCTATGCTAAGAAGGAGCCGACGTTGTACGGAACCTCAGAGCTCGTTGAGCTTCTTTTTCCTTTTCTGAAAAGAATGGCTGGTTTGGATTCGATATGCTGCGAGACGAATCTATTTCTCCAAAGTGTATTTGCTATTGTCGTAAAAGGTCATTGGAAGCACCTCTTGAAGCCCAAGATAAGTTCTAGCCTGACATCGATATCCATCCACCAGATTCTCCTCCAGCTATCGTTTTATTGTTCAGGTCCTTCACTTTCTTGGGCGTTTTTCAAGTGGGTTGAGTTGATTCCTGATTACAAACACTCTTTACAATCCTCATGGACCATGATATGCATTCTCACAGAGCACAAACATTTCAGAACTGCACAAAATTTGGTTGAAAAGATTGCACATAAGGATTTCATATCCTCCCCATCGGTTTTAAATGCTTTGGCAACCACCTATGATAATTCTGATGTCAATGCACATATTTTGAGCTGGTTAATGATAATATATGTAAATTGCAAGATGTCCCAGGATGCTATTCAGGTTCTAGAATATATGAGGCTTCATGGATTTAAGCCTCATTTGCATGCTTGTACTGTGCTTTTAAATTCCTTGGCAAAGGATAGGTTAACCGACTTGGTATGGAAGATTTATAAGAAAATGGTTCGAATTGGAGTTGTTCCTAACATTCATATATACAATGTGCTAATTCATGCTTGCTGCAAGTCTGGGGACGTTGAAAAGGCTGAACAACTATTGAGTGAAATGGAATTGAGGTTTGTTTCCCCTGATCTTTACACATACAACACGTTGATATCTTTGTATTGTAAAAAGAGTCTGCATTATGAAGCTTTGTGTGTTCAAGATAGAATGGAAAGGGGAGGAGTGAGCCCTGACATTATAACATATAATTCCCTTATATATGGGTTTTGTAAAGAGGGTAGGATGAGAGAGGCTGTAAAGCTTTTTCGTGAAATTAAGGATGTTTCTCCCAACCATGTTACATACACCACGTTAATTGATGGATATTGTAGAGTGAATGACCTTGAAGAAGCACTAAGATTATGTAAGGTGATGGAAGCTAAGGGTTTGCAACTTGGGGTTGTGACTTATAATTCAATTCT